GCATGTATCTGAGCCGCTGTTCCCCAAGCTTGGTTACTCAGACACATCCGGGAATTTTCTAAAAATACAACTGCCTAGAAGGAAAGCTGAAATAAACACTGGTGCTGGACTGAAATTACAAGTCTCCAAGAACAGATACCCAAATGTAAATGTGTTTCTACCAGGGTTAGAATACATACGTAATATCCTAGCTCTCTCTCTGTTAAAACCAAGAATCACAGGTCCTCTTAAAAGCAAAAAGCATCCCCTCGAGTCCAGATTGTGGTTTCTAACTGCCATTCTTCAATAAAGGGAACCAGTGGTTCTTGAATAAGGTTCTGATTCTAAGGCTGGAGGAAGAAAATGCAATTTGAGGCTGGCACATTTAATACTGCCAGAAAATTGAAAAGGATTTCAAAATTAAATAACAGGTCATGCTAAAAGCAGTCAACATAAATAAGCTCCTAATACCTAAAGCTGGAACAATCTGAACAATGAAACAACAGGTTTAGATAACAAACCTACAGAGTAAGTTACTTGTGAGTTTACACTGAAATAAATTAAATTAATAAGTAACTAGGGTGAAAGGTCAGTTTTAGTTGAAAACAGAAATAAAAATTCACTTTTAGAGCATGAAAGACATAAGTGTGGTAGGCAAAGGATGTTGAAATATAGGACAACAGTGTGAGAACAAGATGTTGGCATGGCCTCAAAACATATTTCCCCAACACATACATACATACATACATATAAAGGAAAAATACTAAAAACTTCAGAGTGAAGAAACCTGTTAAATACACCTTAACCAAATGATCAACACAAACTTTACCAGAATAAGACCAACATCAGGGACACCTAGTAGGATTCTTTGAAAAGGGAACATGACTTCTGGGGCCTTCATGACACAAACACATAACCTCTATCAAATTAGGAGAGAGTATCAGTCAAAACCAAGTTGAGGAAAAAAATAATCAAGGCTAAAATTATTTACAAAAGTTAAAGGTAAAGTTATTAACAAAATAACCTGGCTAAAGGTCATCACAAAAGACTGAGAAGAACAAGGAACTGTCTACTCACTGTCAGACAAAGTTGCTGTATGTCCTAAGTAAGGTGGGGTTCTGGATTGGATCTCAAAACAGAGAAAGGCCTTTAACCAGGAAAAAAACTGAGTAAAGGATATAATTTAGTTGGAAAAACAAAACAAAACAAAAGCCAAACAACCCCCGAACCCCTGTTCTCTTCCATTCTGATTTAGTCTAAGGCACTGGGATTCTAGTTAATTCTGAGACTCTAGCCTGGGAGTCCAACTTGGGAATCATTCTCCCTGGCTGGCATCAGAATCACCACAGAGCTCTGAGGACTCCCAATGCAGGACCACACCAAAGATTACAGGTACAAGTACTTTTTACAGTCCTTAATTGGACCCTCAGAGAGCATCTGTTGACACAGGTAAGTGGACAATTCCTAGTCTCTTGAAAACCTCAGAAAGCGAACAGAAAGGAAGATGGTACATCTTGTTCTCCCATATCATTCCTCTGAAGGAATTATTTTTCCAAAATAATTTCAATCTTATTACTATCAATCTACAATAACTAAGTCCATGTTTATGGGCGGGGGGAGGAGGATAGCAACTGATTTGCACAGGTTTAAAGGTTTAAATACTGCCCCTTGACTGTGTGGAAAATCAGCTGTCCCCAATTAAGTCTCAGAGAACCCAACAACACTCAGTAGGCAACTAAGCTGATTTCTAAAAACAAAAATTATTACCTATGGAATGAATGCAACACAAAGAGAAGTGTTTTCCTAAAAGAGGGTTTATTAAATCCTTTAAGAAAACTTCCCAGTTTATTTAGAAGAGACCTTATTTGACTAGACATCAGGTAATTGGACTATGATTTATTTTCTAATGCTCAAAACTGACTGACCAGTTTTACAAGGAACCAAACCTAAAATCAACAGAGTGGTTTTAGTTCAGCTAACCGGGACTATGAAATCAGAAACAAGTATCTGGGCAAACTAAAGAGGTACATTGATACAGGCATTTAGTAGAAAACTGTTGAGTTGTGTTACAAGCATACAACAGCAAACTCTTAAGAAATATTAGCAAATACAAGCAAAATATCTACCTGTGATTCTTAGCCAATTTAGTATGGCACAATAAATATTTGCTCAATGAAATAAGAATTTTGTTTTCTTTCAATTACCGATTCTATCACGATCTCTGCACACAGTATAGTGGAGTGGTTGTATCCGTACATGTGTTTTAACTGAGAGCAACCTCAGATTTCTTCCTAACTAAAAACAGAAGGGGGCAAAAATATAAAATTGGACAAAAGACAATTTTCCAACAACCCAGACATGTTTCTGGAAACAATTTAAACTACCTGTGACCAATTCCTGAGATCAATTGTGAAGCCAAGGTTAAAAGATTAAGTTATGAAAACAGAAAGATTCTAGGAAAACTAATGCCCCAAACTGCCCTACTAAATTAATATCCAACATTATTTCTGAAAAAAAATTCCATACAACCGGATATTTAATTTTGCAGAAACTATCCATGCTCTAGTGGAGGAATGATCTAGTGAGGGGCCCACCCACAGTGTGCTGTTCTAAGCAAGGAGAACTGACAGGGTGGGTACTTTTTCATTGCCCACTAGGACTTCCTAACTCAGCATGACGATGCTGACTCAAGCCCTAAGCCTTGACTAAGGGACGACTAACTTGCTATCATCTACCACCTTCTCTGTCACTGAAATCTTACCCTAAATAATATATACAATTTTGTGTCCAGAAAAAAACTTTTCTGGACTTAACCGCATAGATACCAAAGTCCCGAGAGAGAATTCAGAGGGTCATAGGCAGAGAAGCATGGCCTTCAGAGGCACGGGCAGGGCTTCCTGGAGTCCCGGAAGACACAATCCCAAGTGTGCCACAATCGGACTTGTCCATGGATGCCTCACCTCTGTTCTTAGTAATAACTGCCAGATGCTCACTAGAGTATTCAAGTACCTGTCCCACCTGCGTCCTGGTACTGGTCCATGCCCCACCGTGGAAAACCTCAGAGACCTGCTCTAGAATCCCTATTTGTCCTAAAGCACAGAAGAGCTCAAATAAGAAGCATTTCATAGAGTTATAAATTTGGCTAAGTGCTCCATTAGTACATTGTGTCCTCATTTTAAAAATGTGATCAAGTGATTTAAAATAAGTGGGTGTTTGTGTGTGTGTGGTGTGTGGGGGGGGGGGGTGGTGGAAGACCAGTAGAATCTTTTATAACTTCAGAGTATATGAATACAAAGTAATTTGGTCCTTCCATTACCAAAAAAAAAAAGAACAATCTTTACTTGATTAAAATTTATGGAAACAATTTTTAAAGTTTCCTATTTCAAAAATTGCTTGAGTCTTTTTTTTTTTTGCTTTTTTTGGGGGGTCACACCAGGCAATACACAGGGGTTACTCCTGGCTCATGCACTCAGGAATTACCGCTGGTGGTGTCCGGGGGACCATATGAGATACTGGGAATCGAACCTGGGTCGGCCGCGTGCAAGGCAAATGCCCTACCTGCTGTGCTATCACTCCAGCCCTTAAGTCTTTTTCTTGTTTGTAAAACAATGAAATTTATACATTCCAAACATACAACGTCATGAGTAAAGAGCTTTCTAAGATGGAGACTTTCACCTCTCAACAAGTGGCCATGCCCAGATAGCATAAGAAGAGTAAGGAGTGTCCAGGTCACTGAGGGCCTGAACCCCAAGAGCCAGGATGCCCCCTCTCTCCAGTACACACACCCAGGTTACAAAGTCTAACTCCCATATTATCAGCACAGCTTATTAAGCAGACAAAAAAATCCAGTGTCCTTAACACTAACCACCCAGAAAACCTACTTCTCCAGAAAAAGAGGAAGTGATTCATGGGACTTCAATGTTCTAATGTGAACTTAAAAGGGAACTTCTAATAAAATCTAGTCAAGTCAAATACTCCCTGACTTCCCTCTAGAATACACAAGCAGGAGGAAGAATAAGAACTTCCAGTGATGGGTAATTTGTGAATGTGAAAGCTACTCACCAAGTGAATTTTTTAAAAGCATTTTATAAAGCATCTGAAACTTTTATGTTCACTATTCCCCCAATGGACCTTCACAACAATGTGCATGGAATGAAGATTTGCAGGGTGCCTCACAGGAGCACTTATTTCCACTCACATTTAGACAAAATGTCCTACCAGTGCCCAAGAACTCTGAAAACAAGCACATGCACACCAAAAGGTCCCCAAAAGGTAACAATATTTGATGACAATTTTTTTTATAAGTCAACCTCACTCTGAACCACATTTTTTATAAACTGTCTAGTTATTATCTTATTTTACATTTATTTTCAAAAGAGCACATACTCCTCACTTCCCTAATAACACCTCCACTTTACTGTACTTCATGTTACTTTGGAGGAAAAATGTTCCATAGGCAGAATTATATTATCCTTCACTCGCTAAATTTATTTAATGCAGCCTTCAAAATTTACACTAAGCTCATCTTTTCTTTATATCTTTTATATCTTGCAAGAAGAGAAAACTAGATAAATTCAGATCATATTTTCTCCCCCACACATTTCAAACTTAACATTGTTTAGTTTTCAAACCTTTGCGACAGAACAATAAAAACCATAAAACTTGCAGATGTCTTTTAATCCCTCAAACCACTGCCCTGGTTTCACATTCATCAAAATGAATGTGAAACTGGATACATTTAGTTTGAAAGCTAGTTTTTAAAATAATCTGCTTAAAGCCCCAATTTACTTTTTTTCTAGGAAGCAAGTTACTTGATAAACAGAAAAAGATAGAAAGATGTACCTTAAGGAGGAAAAAGCAGAGAACCCATGATTTCTGTTCCACATAGAAGACCTAATAGAAAACATCAAGACCACATTTCCCCAGAAGAGGCCCATAGCCTCTTTCTTTTGGTGGGTGTCCATCTCTGCAGCCCCCAGACTGCAAACAAAGGGGAGTGAATATTAGTGGGTGACACTCACCAGGATACCAGGAGGGGCCTTCCCATGGTAAACATCTTCTGTCTTGCTTAAAGGGCTTTCATGAATCTTCTCCTCATCTTCACTATCATCTTCTATATAAAACATTTTAAAATGGAACTAGCTTATCAAGCATGTCCCTCACCAAAGAAGTGTATCTAAATCATCAAAACTGAAAGCTATTTTGCTGACAAACTGAATGCAAACTGTGTGCAGACACAGTAATATGGTTAAAACGGAAAGGAAATGGTTCTCTGAAAAAATTAAAAGGGCAAAACATGCACAACTTTACCAATAAGATTTGCTCAAAATGCCTCAACCCCTCTCTCCAAAGTAGATAAGCAGAGGCACGGCCTGCTGGGCCATGTGTTTACGCTGATAGGCACCGAGTCCTGCCCAATCACATGATGGCCACGCAGCTTCCATCTCAAGGGACAGGGATTGAGTTAATGATTCTCTCAGTCAATCACAACTTCATTTCAGAAATTAAAACAAGTCTATGTATGGAAAAGTAATCTCCTATAAACCCGTCATGTAAGGGAAAGCTTTACACATCTTTGGCATTAGAAACAGTCTGGTTATATATGCTCTACTGAACTAAAATGACCCAAGACTGTGTGTGTGGTCAGACTGACATGACCCCAATATAGTTTCATAAAACAGATGGAAGGAACTTCAGTGGATTTTTCTAAAAACCTGAAACATACCACACACAAAACCAAACTAGGTTTTTATGTGAAATACCCTACTTCCACCTTCAAGACTTTGCCTTGGGTTATGCTATCCACTACAAATCATCAACAACCAGAGGGGCTCTATCTGACAGTGCCTGGCACCCATGGAAATATGCTGTATCAAACACACATTTAGAATGAAAACAGAATTGTAAGAAACTCAAAACATTTTTATATACGTTACATGCTGAAGTGTTCCAAATATACTGTTGAAGACACATTTAAAATTAACTTTAAATCCTGTTAATGTTTTAAAATTTGGCTCCTGTTATTAGGCAGGGCTACTCATAGGCCTGGAGACCATCTTAAAAGCATCAGTGGGGGAAAGGGGAGAACAACTCCTAATGGAGAAACAAAAATGACCGAAATTTCTGTCACTCCATAGAAGACATTAAATTCATCAATGATATACTGGCAGCTCAACTATTTAATACTGCTTGCATTACAAGGTGTTTTTCACCTCTTGTAAATCTTCCTCTTCCTCTAAGCATCACACAAAAATGTCAAAATTTGCAATGTTTGTCCAATTAAGACAAGGGAGAAGTAGGTAACATTTTGTACAGAAATATAGCAAACCAAGGGGCTGGAGAGATAGTACAGTGGGTAGAGCACTTGCCTTGCATGCAGCCAACCAGGGTACAATCCCCAGTATCCTATTATATGGTCCCCCAAGCACTGCCAGAAGTGATTCCTGAGCACTGCTGGGCATGGCTCAAAACTAATATAAATAAATAAAAATAAAAATAAATACAGCAAAACAAGATACATATAATAAAGATGGCAAAATGAAAACAAATCTCACCACAATGGAAATGGGGACATTTTTCTTGCATTCAGCATTTCACTGCTTGCTGCTCAACCTACCAGATCTTGATGTGAACCTGAACTATAGACTGCCCAAGGGTATTCTGAGTCCATTCCAGAGCTTAGTGGATAGCACAGAGGGCTGGAAGCCTCCCAGCATCCTGAGTGTGGTCCTCAAGGCCTCAGTACTATTGGGCTCAAGCAGTATCATCTTGGTAGACCAGAGCATTCACTAGTAGTGCTTCTGGGCCCCCCCGAAGAATGACTGAGAGGGCCCCCAAATAAACCTATTCAATATACAATGTGCACATAAATAAACTCCTTCCAAATGAATTAAAACATTTTGACCTAAATGTCATACAGTATTTAAAAATTTAAGCTTTTTCCTCTATATCCTACTGGTGCTATGAACCTGTATCAGACAGAAGTGAAAAACAAAACAAAAATAAACAATGGTACTGGGATGTTGGGAAAAAAATAGAAAAAGTGAGAGGGTGGGGTGAAGAAGAAGTGAGCAGGAGAGAACAATATTAAAGAGATTAAGAAAAAACTAAAGGTTATGGAAGAGGTGGAAGAGATGAGCAAATACATAAAATGAAAGGAGGAAAGGAATAGGTAGTAGAGGGATGAGGATATTTAAAGAGAAAAACAGAAAATGCTTTCCCAGTTTATATATTTAAATAATACTTTTACCCTTTTAAAAACATTTTTCTTTCCCTCTCCACATTTGCTGGGATACGGGGGGTGGGATCATACTTGTCTGTGGAGTCCTCAAGGCTCTGGAGGTCCCAAAGGCAACATGTGGCTCACACGCAGCAAAAGCTGGGGACCGAACTCACGGCCTCCTGCTCTACTACAGAGTCACATCTGAGACTCTAGGTTTGGGAAATTAGCCAAGTTCATACCTAAGTTCAGCATTTTTTTGCACTAAGAAAAAGAAAAGGGAAAAGAGCTAAGTGGGGAGAGGGGTTGACAAGAATGAAAGAACACATCTAGCCAAGAGATGACTCTGTTCAGGCCATTTTTTACCTCAAACGCCTCTTACACAAGCAGCTGAGATGGCCTTTTTGCTTTCCTGCTCACTGTGGTACTGTTTCACTGTTTAGATCGATGATTCACAAAATGTTCTGACCACAAGGGGCCATAGGCCAGACAGCATGAGCTCATCTCCCCAACACCGATTATGACACCGGCACACACCTCCAGCTTCCCCAGCAGTGACGTGTGGCCCAGCCCCCCCACCATCTGCATGGGACACTTTGCAAGACTTGGTCAATGAAAATTAAAAATGACAACCACTCTTTCATATGACTTCTCCAAGAAAAATGCTACATTCCTGTCAAACTTCTTTCTACATGCTAACAAATGGTTGAACATGAAGGAAAATCACATTTCACTTTTACGTAATGATCTTAATAAACTTCAAAAATTTTTAATCAACTTATTGATTTACAATTGGAGCTTAGCTTTACTCATCTATATGTGTGCAGGTATCATCATGTCCACAACAGTCAACAAAAATGTCTCTTACATCTGCTGGGTATAAAAAAGTATAGTAAGGGGGACAACAGATGGCAACAGGAGGCATGCAAGAACTGAACTCACCTGGGAGTGAGAGTACGAGGGGACGTGTGAGACACTGATGAGGTGAGTGGGCACTCTGGTGATGGTGTGTGTTGGGACGACATCTTCATCAAATATTATAAATCATGGTATATTATAAATCAGTAAAAGTGGTAAAGAAGGGGTCAGAGAGACAATACAGTGGGCAGGGTGCTTGCCTTGCACACAGATGACCCAGGTCAATTCCTGGTAACCCCTATAGTCCATTGAGCACCACCAAGAGTGAACCCAAGTACCTCCAGGAGTGATTCCTGAGCACAGAGCCAAGAGTAAGCCCTGAGTACCTCTTGGGGTGTTGGGGGGGAAGGGAAAGGAAGGGAGGGGCTAAGAAAAAGAAGTAGTAAAGCTTAAATTTTTTCCAAGATTCAAGTCTTTAGGAAAAAATATATATATAGCTTAAGTAAAGCAAAAATGCTTATAAGAAGAAAATCTTATTCATATTCCATAGCTGATATTAGTTGCTAAAATATATTTCTGATTCTTTTTCTACTACTATTCCTGGAAAGATAAGAATTTAAATACAAAGTGTAAGAATTTCTTTAAAAATGACCTAGAAGTAGTACAGCGGATAAGGCTCTTGCCTTGCACGCAGCTGACCCAAGTTCAATCCCCAGAATCCCATTTAGTCCTCTGAGCATCACCAGGAGTGATTCCTGAGTATAGAGCCAGGAGTAGGCCCTGAATTTTGCCAGGTGTAGCTCCCCCAAAAACACACCAAAAAAATCAATCAATCAGAAATGACCTATCTGAAATTTGCTAATTAATTCAGTAGAATACCTTTACAACACAAACTATGGTATGATTTTACCACAAAACTAGAAAGGAAATCACACCCTCCAGTGGCCACACTGTGGAATACCACCATATCTACTGGAATATCAAAGAGAGATGAGAAAACAAGTTGTTTTGATTAGTAAAAGATAAAAATTCTTTTTTAAAGCCTGGGTTGCAAAAATTTCATATACTTCACCACAATTATTCTAGAGCAAGGGACTTAATTTATATGTAGTTCTGCTTTTTTGAGGAGAAAATGCAGACAGTAAACATACAAGGGATCAGAGCGCACCAGAAAATAAGACCGGTTTCATTTAGAGATGGATGGGTTTTTGATCTTCCACACATTAAAGGTTTCTTCCCATTTTTATAACTGTAATTCAGCTTACCTACAAAAATAATCCTAAAGAGGCTGATACGCTTTCTTCAAAACTAAGAAAAAAAAAGTCTTGATACTAAGACATCCTTTTTTTTTTTTTTTTTTAATTTTTATTAGTGAAACACCATGAGGTGCAGTTGTAGACTTACAAATTTTTGTGCTTGGGTTTCAGTTATACAATGATGAAACACCCATCCCTCCACCGGTGCCCATTCTCCACCACCCAGTATCCCTCCGACCCCTCATTCCCCCCATCCCACCCTGCCTCTGTGGCAGGACATTCCCTTTTGTTCTCTCTCTCCTTTTGGGTGCTGTGGTTTGCAAAAGAGGCACTGAGTGGCAATCATGTTCGGTCTATAGTCTACTTTCAGCATGCTCTCCCATCCTGGGAGGATCCTCCCAACACCCTTTATTTGGTGCTCTCTTCTTTATCTGTGAGCTGCCCTTTCCCCTAGCATGTGCGGCTGGCCTCCAAGCCATGGAGTAAACCTCCTGGTACTTATCTCAGCTATTCTTGGGCGTTAGTCTCCTATTTTGTTACTTTATGTTCCCCAGATGAATGCAATCTTTCTATGGATACTAAGACATTTTTGAGGTTTCACAACAAAAATGTAGTAGTGTAACTTACTACTGAGTTTACTGAGGTTTCAGTGTTTCATTATATCTTCACACAAACCCCAAACTTTGAACAGGATAATATCAAATACACACAATTCTACAGAGAAAAATAGGAACAGTCCCTTGAGTTGACTTTCAAGTATATAGTGACTTCCCCTCCTAAAGATAACCCTCCAATCTTGAACACTTATATTAGCTCCTTAAAACTAAAACATTTTGCTTTCTACTCTGGTATGTTCATTCTTTTTCACTTATGATAAAGTGATGTGTTTAAGTGGCGGGGGGCATTTATGGTTCTGGTATAAATAATTATCTCATCTTCTGATAAACCAAATCTTCTAAAACTACATTGTAAAAGTGTTTTCAACCAAACCCACCATTAATATTCAAC